AGCAAGTCCAGTGGAAGGGCACCAAGATGATGAGGGGGCTGGAGCAAAGGGTGGAGGAGGGAAGGCAGAGAGAGCTGGCCCTGTTCAGCCTGCAGAAGAGATGGATGAAGGGGGATCATCCTGCAGTCTGCAACTCCCAAATGGGGGAGTATGGGGAAGGCAGGGTCAGGCTCTGCTTGGAGGTGCACAGGGAGAGGATGGAAGGCAACAGGCACAAGTTGCCACCAGGGACACTGCAGTTATTTGTGAAGGGAAGAAACTTCACCATGTGGATGGTCACAGAAATGGGGCCTGGAGGAGCAGTGGAATCCCCAGTGGTGGAGATGTTTGGACATCAGCCTGGCAGAGGCCTGAGTAACCAGCTCCATCTTGGCCCTGTTTCAAGTAGCAGCTTTGGTACCAGATGATCTCCAGAGTTTCTGAGTATAAGAGGATGGCAGTATGATGTAACTTGCCCTGCCTTTTCACATGACGTCATTCACTGGGCTGCACTATTTCACTTATTTCTGATCTAAGTGTTACACAACTGGACCAAAAGGAAACACATACCCTCTGTTGTTTTGAAGGATTGTAATTGTTATGGGGAGTATGATGTAATCTGCTGATTAGCAGATTATTTTAAAAAGCAGTATTTAATTTCTATTCTAAAGCTTTTCTTAAAATCAAGCTATCATTTTTTAAAAGCAGCATCACGTGTAATGAGTTGGCATTTGGAGAACAAAACACATCTTCAGGATACAAAGTTTGAACTGCTAACCAAATATGACTGGGTTAGGGGAAAGCCATGAATCTTGCCCCCAGTAAAGCTTTCACTGGTTCAGACCTACATGTGGATGAAATATACTTTAAAAGTATTAAAATACTTTTCTCTTAAGGCAGCTGCAGTCACACTAAATGAACACCTAACATTCCTTTCATGAAAAACAATATAGGTAAGTGTTACTACAATTTGTCATAGTTTGTATTTTAAACATTTTGAGTATGTAGTCAGGCTTGCATATGCTTTTAGTGGTCTGTGCTAGTAGGAACCTTTCAGGACCATGATTCTACAAAGTGTTCACACTACACTTACTCCATGAAAAGCATTAAATGGTTATTTGGTAATATTTGGAAATTATGGGACAAGCTTCTCCACAATTATTGCTACTTTAAATTTCCTCTGGCCTAAGGAAAATAATCTAACACAAGCTTATGAGTTGCCTTGTAAAACTTGGAGGCAAAAGACAATGACTAGAGTATTGTCCAAAGAAGAGGAGATAGGACTTGGAGCTCAGAGAAGGCTGTAAAGCAGCACTTCTGAGGAATTATCTAACTGTAAGAATATACCAAAATGAAGTCTTAATACAAAATGTAATAAAAAATTAGGCTTAATCATTATTTACATTTAAAGGATAAAAAACCAACAACCACAACAGGGGCATCCTGTGGATACTTTCCAGTTTTATTCTGCTGCCATAACATAGTCACACAGAAGAACTGAAGTGTAACAGATCATGCTCTGCATTCAAATCTTTTTAATACCATTTAAACAAACTTACTCAAAGAAAACATTCCCCAGTTCTTTATTTGAGGGAATAAATTAAACGCAAAAGAAAAAATACATACATGCTTGAAATAAATTTTAACATAGATATTAAAAAAAATTTGGGTAACATTAAAGAATGAAGTCTCAGAACCAGCCTGATGTTCTTACATATTTCAAATGAATGTAAATTAAAATGGAACAGACTTATTTACTCCTCAAACTTCAGTGCAGCACAAAATTTTTAAGTGCCCTGGCACTAAAACAATATACAATTAATTAGTAGACTAGGCCATTGGTAAATTTATCATTTGTTACCAGTTTTTCTAATCCTGTAAGCGTGCATCATCTAAGGCCGAATATGATAGTATTTCTTCATGTCCATCTCTCTTCTCTAGAACACAGCGTTTATCTAGCTGCAAAGTTGTAGGTAAATCGAAAACCCCAAGTACAAATTAGCAGAATGACATCAAGCATGTTCATACAAACTTTGGACTGGAGAAATGGATGCTGAGCTAAACTTTCCAGATCATTCCTACCTGAAATGTGACATGTTTGTATCTGTTACTAAGCTGAAGTTTTAAGCAAGGTTAGCTAAAGCAGCCATTGAATATAAGGTTTTGGGCTTGTAGTAATAAGCTTTTTTTCCCACCACTAGAAGTTCCTCTCCTACTAATTTGTCATACATGATAAAGTGGGAAAGAAGCTTGGAACTCAAACATACATAGCTCTCAATCTAGTTATGCCATAAGTTGACCTGTAATATATGAAATTAACAAAGTGCAAATGACTGCCAAAAGCAAAATTTGATGTCCTGATTGTTTTTAATTTCATTAGAAGGCCTTGTGTTGCTTCTTGCAGCCTTCAAATTGCAATTTAATAATTGGAAATACTTTAAAACTGTACATACCAGTATTTATGTAGAGGAAAATTATGAATAGTTACACTCTTCCTGTTAGTCCATATAACTCAGCTTTAAGAAACAGAACAGAATATATATCTGAAAAACATCTAGTTATAGAAACATCTTCACCTTGTAAATTAGAGATTGAATAAAGGGTTTTAACAATATCATACCTACTCTAAAAACAAAATACTACATTTGAAAAGAAGAATTGCATTTATTCAGTAGGACCCTGATGGTGTTCCAAGCCAGGCTGGATAAGGCCTTGAGCAACTTGGTCTAGTGTGAGGTATCCCTGCCCATGGCATGGCAAGATGATTGTTAAGGTCCATTCCAACCCCTTAACATCCTATGATTTGTCTTAAGGTTGCCTGTTGTTTATTTCCAAGGATGTAGCTTTAAGGAAATAAGCACTGTATCATTCGTAGATAAAGGGATCAGTAAAAGAGAAAAGTCTATGCATGAGAACGGGGCATGATAGAGTAAGCATTTATGTTCATTTCAGAAATCATGACATCTATGCAGCCAAGTTACAGAGAAGGTGTGGAGGAAGAGATCTAAAAGTGGATTTTAATTTTTTTTTTGTTAATACCAATATAGTGGAACTGTATTACAATAGGTATCCCAGTTACATCTCTCTTTTCATCATTTCTGTTGAAAAATATTTTCCTCTCTGTCCCACGAAAAAGCTACTAGATAGATGTCTAGCCATTACTGAATTACTCTCTCAAGTTGTTTTTAATAATACTTCCATAATAAAAGAAAAAAAATAAACTTCAAGTCAAAGTGCAAGCCACCTTGTTTCAGCCCTTCATAAGAATGTTAATATTTTTCCTCATTCATCTTCAATTATTTTTTAATATAAAACTTCAATGAACTATTAGGAACTTACAGTCCTGCTGCCCTCACTGTACAGTCAAATCAGCAGATACTTCCTCTATTCAGTCCAAATGAATCTGGAAGTTTCTTTTCAAAATAATCATAGCAATATGGTATTTTTACACTATCCTGTTTCTACAGAAGCAGTGAGCAAATCTAAACTCTTAGCCTATTATTGTAACAAGAATTTCTCTGAATAAGTAGCAAAGATATTTCAAAGTTTTTAAAATAAGCTAGAAGTTAATTTTTCAAGTTTTGATCAGCTACAATAACCTTTCTATGATTGCACTGTAAACTGTTCCAGCTCTCTTATTTAAAGGAACAAACTTCATATCCCAAAGCCCACTTAGTGGATGCTAAGAATATGAAAAAATATTATAGAAAAGGTTACTGATTGCAAGTGGGAAAAGTGATAGTTGAGTTCCTTCCTACATTAATCCTAGATTTTTTTCTAGGCTATTCAGGCTCTTGGAAGCCAATTTGAACTCCTGTGAGCATAATCAACCTGAGAAGCACAGTTAGAAAATTCCCATATCATTACTAACTGCCAGCATTTTAATGCTGTATGTTAACTTAGTCTTGTTTTAATCTGACCTTCTGAAATGAAGGTTCACAATAACATGATTTGAGCCATACGAAGAGGACTCTTGACAAGAGTTCTCTTAATTAACCTGTGGCTGATGATTCCAATGTCACTCCTGCTAGTAATACCTTAGCTGGAAAAAAGCCCCCAATAATATGTATCATCAGGGCCTAAAAATGGGGTGGGGGAGAAAGAGGAAAAGGAAGATGAAGACTTTATCTTCAGGTACCATATACTATTCAAGTACCATGTAGGGAAAAGGCAGCAATAGGAAACTTGAAGATAGTTTTACCCACAGAAATCAATTAAAAATACATCTATATACACAAAATTTTGGTACTTAAAATGCTGCTATTTTGCTGGCTTCTCGAACCCCACTCAAGTAAGCTCCTGTAACGGTCTGAGGAAAGTGCCTATTTGTGGCCTGTATTAGAAAAAAGAAAGAAGGAAAAAAAGTTAATTGTTTCTAAAACTAATACTACAAAATTTTAGTTTATAAGATCATCTTTGTTTTCCTTAAGCATATATCTACATTTTTAAAAGCTATGGGAAACTCCTTAGAAAGAACATTAAAGGAAACACTCAAGATTTTTAACAACTTCAAAACTTGCAAGCAAGCCAGCTACAAAAGCAGCAGTCTGTTCTCCTATCTGCACTTTAGTGGGGCAGGTTAAGTTTTGCCCCAGTACAGAATGCACCCTACACCATCATGGTGCATTTGTTATGTTACCCAGAAATGGAATAACAGAAAGACAATTTGAATAAAAATTCATTTTACTCCTGACCTGAAATATTTGGCAGGCTTCCCATGCCCAGTAATAATACAAATAGAGAGGGTTCTGTGTCAAGAATCATTAGCATATTTATATTAAAATATAAATATACTACCTCTACATTAATGGTGTTGGGTAGCAAGAGATGAACTTCGATAAGAAACTGCTCTCAGTAATAAAGATACTTACCTCACCAGCAAAAAAAACTTTTCCTTGTATATCTTCAGCTATCATGTCGTAAGCTTCACCGCTGCCCCCCGTTTTCACAAAGCTGTATGCCATCTGCAGCCAATGGTCATTGCTCCATCGAGTAACAAAAAACTTCACTGGGTCAGGAACCTCCTGCATAACCAAAACAGAAGTGCAAAGAAAAGTTCAGAATTGCGCAGCTTTTTCTCAAACAGTTTCTAGTAATCTTTGGAGTATTTAGTATTATTAAGATACAGATTAGGTCACATTCCAGAATTAAATTCCTTTTTTTTTAATTATAGTACTAACCACAAAAATAACTTTGTTTGCTAGACTCACCTGATGCCTGAAACATCACAGCTGCGCTATTCTGAATGCAACAGATCTGTATATTGTAATAGACCAAGAAATCCACAAGAAAAAAAATTCCCTTAAAATACATATACACATACTCTTGTAAACAATGTACTGATATTGTTCAACATGTACATATGTATAATGTAAGCAATTTTTGGTTACATAATGTCTTGGGTAGGCATGCTTGTTACATCTAGCTTGTTAAATCTCAAAATTCAATTTTCATTTTGGAGATAATTTTATTCCAATGGATAAATAAGATGATTTATCCAAGATCCGAAAATGAGCTGTCTTGTAAACTAGGTTCAGGGAGAAAACAAAAACTAGGAAGTCAGGGTCTGGCTGAGCCATGACAGAAATACTGTATATTCCTTGTCACATTGCAGCACGCAAATTCCACAGATTTCTACCAAAAAGAGCCTGACTAACACTTGTATGAAAGCTTAGTCAACTACAGCTGTGTCTTAGTCTGGAGGAGCCCATGACAAATAAACAGAAGCAGCTCTGCTTTCCTCTTGGAACCAGGTTTGGTACCGACAGATAAAATCCATTCAGGCAGCACATGAGAAACTCAAGCGCAAGTTATCAAAACAAGGATCAGCCAAATATGGCAAGTTGTAAAGATGTTCAAGACGTAGCTCTGGTACGCCCCTGAAGCTATTTTGTCTTTGAAAATCCCACTGCATCGTCCTCCGGTGACTGAAATTACAACTGCTGTAAACCATGGAGACAGCCATGAAAATCACTGTTCTGGACCAGAGTGGCACTGAAACCAAAGACCCATTTGCTGCATTTTCATGAGATCAAGATACAGGTATGTGAACTCCCACTGCATGTGGTTCTACTAACAATAAAGCCATTACCAAACGTATGTTTCTAGGAATAGTTAAGTTTTCAGATACTGAAGTTCTTCCAAGATCATTAATCCTAACATTTGAACCATCAGTAAAACTTGAGAGATCACCCCTGAACACAGTCATTCCTGGGGATCTAACTGTTTTAAGAAATTAACTGAGGCATTATTGTCTCTAGAATGGAATGCAAATAACATTGCTAAGTGATAAGTGTTTTGCTTTCCCTGATTTTCCAATTAGATTTTATCCTAATAATTATCTGGGGGAAGGAAAAAAGATAGAAATTATTATCTAGTGTTTTCTTTTACATTCAGGATGTAGGGCCCTTGCTAGATCACTTTGCCTGTACCTCCATCCTAAGACAGCTGAGAAAGGGTTGTTAGTTAGCAGAAGAGAAATGGATTAGATTGGTTCAGGGGTGTTGTAGTTTCAGTTGCCTTGGCATGGCAGAAGTCAGAAATCAATCAAATTCATGTAGCTTATTAGAAGTGGCGATGACCAGAAAAAAAGTGACAACTAAGTAAGAAGTATGTTTTGTGTTACCTGCCTAAAGTACTACTTTTAATTAATTTTGCTTTTTAAAAGCATTTTAAAGGATGATAGTTCATTTATATTTTTCAGTTATATACTACTGTCCTTCAGAGAGAGCTAAGATATTTCAATACACATTTTTCACACAAGAGACCAAAAATTGGGATTTTTTAGTATGTCTCAAAGAAATCCTATTCCCTGAAACTAAGAAGAAAAGAAAAATAGTTTTTAATGTCAAAGGTCTGCCTATACATCCGAAAGTACTACATTTGAAGCTTTGAAGTACTACATATGAAAGCTTGTCACCAGAAAGCTTCTGGTGACAAGTTAATTCATCTCTTAATAAAAGAGGCTTCTCTTACCTGCTCCTTAAACAGCTCTCGGAGTACAGTCATACACTGTTGCAGTACTTGTTGATCATCTAAATTCTTAATGGTTGTCACAGCATCTCCGGTGACCACTGACATTAAAATGCTTTCTTTGCCCTAAAAACAAGACCTTATTAAGTATTTAATAAACAGTCTCTTTTAATTGGTATTGCAAAGATATTTTCAGCTGCAAAGCAACTGTTGTTCTAGAGAAAAGTGGGTTTTATTCCTTAGAACAAAGGGTGCATAATATAAATATTTATGCTCAAATTACTACTTCTGATGCCTTGTTCACAGATCTGTTACAGTCAGCCCCTTGTACAACTTGCTGAATTCACTGAACACTTCCCATCTACCTACTTAAAGGCTGTACCCCCCAAAAATCACATTGATAGTGTTATTCTTTGTGCACCCTCTTAAGCTTCAGTTTCATGCCAAACTTCCACCTCAGCTGTACTCCATTTTCAAAATGTGGTGACAGAGTCTATTTAAATACTAGTTAGATATGATTTTTATTAGATCAATACTAGGTTCTTACCAGCAGATTTTGGACCAAAAAATGAAAGGTCACATATACTGGTATTTTTTTCCACTTCATGACATCTGCTACTCTGCAGAAGTTTTAGAGGTGAAGTGGTGGAGTAGGGAATAGCACACAGGTTCTCAGTACCTTTAAAGAACTCTGCCTCTCTTGTTTATGTAAGGTAGTAATTCTTCTGTTACTAACTTTATTAGTAATTCTTCTGTTACTAACTTTAATAACTAGTAGAGAATAGCTGTCAAGCAAATTAAGCATTATATGTAGGGTCTCTGGACAGCACCAGCACACTGAACCTCTTGTAGCATGAGTTTAAGAGGACTGGAGAGAACTCTTTTAAGCAAAGTTGTATACAGGCACAAATTAGGCAGTAACAGAGCACGAATGTCACAGGATGGTTTCATTTTGGAGTAAGACATCAGGTTACAAAATGGCCTTTTAATTGCTGCCAAGTAGTAAGCAGCAGTTGTTGTAAAATATGAAGATGTACAACATAAATGTGTAATGTATCTGCTTGGAACTGCCAGGGAAGAGAAGCACGATGTCAATCCACTGGTTTGAATTTGCTTTGAAATTCTTGAGTATGAAACTGACCCTACAGATCTCAGTTTCATGCAGAACTTCGTTTTAGACTTCTGCTATTCGAAATAGTTATTCAGCCTACCGCAAGACAGTAAGCATTAGTAAGTGAGCATGATCTTTTTAACTGGATTTTTAGCTGATTTAATAAGGGAACAGAGTCCTAAACCGAAAGTGACTAATAGGCTTTTTCCCACATTAGCAGATTTATAGCAAAGTATTACAGCCTTGTCTTCAGTAGAAATTGAGAATGTACTTACTTGTATAGTAGTCTGTATCCAAATTATGAAAAACATTCCCATTTATTACAACAAAATATTGATGAGCTTTTATCTAGATAAGTAATTAACACTGCTTCCACTGCTTTTAATAGTTGCAGATGTGGCAAGGCGGGAGAGGGCAGGGGGTTGGTGGGAAGAAGAAAAATACTGTTGTTCAGTAATTATTACACCTAGATTTCAAACTCAGCTTATGAAAGGCCAAGAGAAAACACAGTTGACATATATCATACCTCTGGATCCATATCATAGAAGACACTAAAGAGCCCACGCTGGGTGGAATTGGGTGGAACATGACCAAAAAAATCAGCTCCTTGAATTTTACTGTCCCAAAATCTATATGGAAACTGCAAGGCAATCTAGAAAGATGTAAAAAAATGGTCTTTAAGCATTTCATACCACACAACTCATAAAAGGATACTGTATATGTTCTTCTAATCCATTTTCCTGTTTCCACTCATTTAGACTCAGCTCTTCCTATGAGTGGGTCTCAACAGAGAATATATGAACCTGTCCTCTGAGGGGGACAGGCAAAGAAAAAAAATGTCATAAATTGCAGATGCACAGAATGTCAAATGCACAATGGAAGTAATTGTGTAAAATGCTCAAGAAATTCAGATTTTTTTTTTTTAAACCTAGTGTATAACTTAAATGAGCAGCATCCTGTATTTGGAGTTTTTTAATCTTGTATTTAAATTTCATAGTTGTTATAATGCTGTTTCTGGCATTTCTTTGTACCTGTTTTGTTCTAAGCACACATCTTACTGGGGAGCTTTTCAGAAGAGGCTGTGTTTTTGTGCTGGGAAAGGGTAGGAGATTTTACACTGGTCCAACACACAATTTTCAGTATACTTTGCAAACGCTTTATGAATTTACTAGGTTAAAATGACCTGAAATAAATACATTATGAAATTCTGAAGATCTGAGACCATCTTGAATCAAAATTAATAACAAAATATTTATGCCCTGAAATTCTTCTACGAAGAGTTTCTTTAAAAATACCATTAAGTTGTGAAATCTAAGAAACAGAAAAATGTGCAATCCCCGATAACATTTTGCTCTCCTGGGCTACTGTATACAAGTAAAACATTAACGTATGTTTCTGCATCACAAACCCTGATAAATACACTGCAAAAGCAACAGAAACAAAACAGCCAATGTTTCCATGAAAAGAAAATTAAAGATAATACGAAATCACTTACTTTCTCAATGACTCCTGCTCCCAAACTATTAATGGCTTTAATTTTTTTTTCTGATAGTGGAGGATTAAACTGAATGGCATTTTTCTGAAGAAGGGCCAGTGGCACAGTCACCAATACCTGAAAGAAATAGCTACAATCACAACAGTACCAAAACTTGAATACAGCACTTGAGCCTCACAGCATCCTCCTAACTGACTTGGATTATGCTAGTAGGATGCATCATAGTAACACACCAGACATTTCTAGATTACTGTCTGGTTTTAGTTCCCATTAATGGGAAACACATGCCTTCTATTCAGGTGAGAACAGATCCCACAGTTCACTGATCTTAAGACATAGTCTGATGAACTGCTTGTATCACAGTGGCTAACCATGCTACCAATACTTCAGCAAACAATAGTCAATGGTTCTCAGATTAACAAAACTGCCTGTTTCAAATCAGAGATAGATAGTCAGTGATTTAGTTTGGTTTGAATTCCTTCAGAGATTCCTTCTCTTTAAAATACACTCAGTAACACTGTTGATGTCAATCCAAACTTTACCAAGTTTACGTATCATTTTAAAAATTACTGAAAGCTAAACTACTCAACATGAAGAAGGTGGGGATACAAGGAATAAGAGAGACTGAGAAATAGGGGTTGTCAAATCCTGGAAATTTTAACACAATACACATGCTAAGGGGGGTAAAGCTGAGCAGGGATTGGAACTAGATAACATAAATGTCACTTCAAAGACCAGATAAAAATCTATTTGCTTCGCATTTTTAGTACTACCCTTTATATTCCTTAGTTTTTCAAATCAACTCACACTCAGATGTCAAGCATGCTCACCAAAAATTAGGCTCTAGGACACCCAAATAAAGGCCACTAAAATACACGAGTATTCATCTTTGAATGGGGAGAAAATGGACTAAATAGTCCTGAGAGAAAGAAAAGAAAGGAAAAAAAAGGACATGTGCTGTTTGTTCTCTAGAATTCTCAGTCTTGAAGTATACTTGGTACCTTCTGTGTTGTCCACACTGTTCCATCTGCAGTAGTGATCTGCACTTCTTCACCAGAATAGTCAATGCTCTGAACCTATTGAAAGACAGATTGAGAGACTGTACTACAAAGTGTATATGTGCAATGCAAATTCCAGCAAGAATAGCTAAAATAGCACTGGTCAGCAATCTAGAAAATTACTAACACAAATTTCCAGAAAAATCCTGAAAGACAAAAAATAGTCTTCATAAATCTGAAAAAGAAAAATCATCATAATTTTAACATGTAAGATCATCATATCATAATATTTAAGTACTGATAGTCCTCAGGGAGAATTTCAGAAATGTTGAAATTGTCCTCTTTGTTCTTTTTAAAGACAAATTTAAACAGTCACAGGCACAGATTTGCCAGGTCCCAAAGAATACAAATATGACTCTGTGTTTCAAAGCAATCCAAGACAGGCACTGCATCAATGTTTGCCAGA